TCCTCCATCCTGCTCTTTCAATAGGTAATCTTAACTTATCCAGGAGCACCACTGTACTAGTGACTCCCAGATCTACAGCCACAGCCCTGATCTTCCTTCTGCACTCCTGACTTTGATATCCAACACTGAGTGACATCTCTACTTGGATGTCTGAATTTAAACTTATTACGTCCAAAGCAAACTCTTGACTTCCCTTCCACAGACCTGCTTCTTCCCCAGGCTTTCGGAGGTCAGTGAATTAATTGGCAACACTAGCTACCTAGCTGCAGGTCAGAAACTTAGAAGTTAGTCTTTTCTTTCCCTGGTGGCTCAATGGGGAAGATTCCCTGGAGAAGAAAATGGCAACCCACTCCAGTATTCTTGCCTGGGAAATCCCATGGATAGAGGAGCCTGGCAGTGACTTAGTGACTAAACAACAACATACATACATACATACATACATACATATATATATATATATATGTAAAATCTCCACATATAGACGGAATCCAACCACTTTTGAGCTCCTGTCTATCACTTCTTTCCTGAACAACAAGGTTCTAACAGGTATTCCTGCTTCCCCTTTTGCCACCACAGTTCATTCTCTCCCATTACAATGATCTTTCAAAAGAGTAAATCAGGGACTTCCCTTCTGGTCCAGTTGTTGAGAGGCCACCTTGCAGCGCAGGGAGCCCAGGTTCCATCCCTGGACTAAGCCAGCCAAGCCACGACCAGAGTCTGAGCACCACCATGAAGTTCCCACATGACTCAGTGATGATGCCTCCTTCCCCAACTAAGACCCTGCACATCCAAATAATTTTTAAGTGTAAATCAGATCATGTTGCTCCTCTGCTTAAAAACTGTCCCAAAGAACATTTTGTCTGTACACATATATAGTCTCCCCATCTCTGTCCTCTATAAAAAACCTAGAAACAAAGACCAACCCAGTAGCAATGAGCAATCCAGCACCTAATTAGTAGTGCTAAACTATCATTTCTCACTAAAAGTAACTACGATTTTTGGAAGCGGCTGATTCCAAGTTTGGGGTAAGAAATGTCTGGGGTCGGCAAACTTTTTCCAAAGAGCCAGGCAGTCTTTCAGATTTTGCTGGCCAAGAGGCAAAATCACGGAGATTATGGAGGTCCTTACATTACCATTTAAAACGTAACCATTAGAAAATACACAAGGACAAACGCGAGCATTTGGACGCCACTAAAGCTTGGGTTCCGGATCCCAGGCGGCTCCCACCCTTCCAGCCCCGCCGTCAGCGACCCCAGCCCTAGCCGGCTCCCCAGAGCTCTGAGTGGCCGCTGGGATCCGCAGCCTCTGGTCGGCGCCGCCTCCCCGTCTCCGAGCAACAGGCAGACGCAACTTCGATCCTCGCTAGGACTCCCGGAGAGGCCGCGGGGAGGGAGCACGTATGCGCACATAGAGCTGCCAGCCTCACACACCCCACTTTGGAAGAAAGGGGAGATCCCCAGAACGCCCAGTCCCAAGCAAGTCTTTGTCCTCACTATTCCCACAAGTCCTCTACCACACCCCTGTTACTCAACGTATGGTCTAGGAGGCCATGGGTATCAACAGCACTACTTAGGAACTTGTCAGAAATACAGAATTTCAACTTCATCCTAGACCTACCGAATCATTATCTACAGGTTGAACAAGATCCCAGGAGATCCCTACGCATATTAACGTTTGACAGTGTTGCTTTCACCATCCAGATAAGGCAAAGCCATAAAAAAATACATCAACATAGGAACACCTCTTATAAACTGAACTTTTAACCTAGACACTAAAACACAGCCTTTAGGACTTACAAGCGGAAGTTCCCCGAGCCGAGTTCCTTATGCTTAGTAAGGATGAAAATCCCCTCGTGTCTCCTCTGGCCATCGGTCTAGGACGGAATGCATCACTGACCTCAGGTTCCTGCTCTAGGAGTCAATGGGGAAATCGGGAAAGAAGATTTCCATTCCCAGAGTTACTTCTCATGTATAAGGCAGAAAGAGAAGGTTCCAGCATAGGGACCCTTGGACTTGCCGAGGTCAGTCAGACAGCAACATAAGGGCAATCCCTACCCCAGGGAAGGCCATACCCAAACCCAGCTAAACAACCCCCAGGAAACAGACAGCGTTTATATACTCTAAACCTGAAATGAAATTCCTATGAGTATTAAGGCAGTGGATGAGAACTCCTGGAGAAGTTCCCAGGTCAGTAACTTCCCAGTCTGGCACATTCTCTCCTGTATTCATCTATCTTGAGAAACTGCAGGCCATAAATTTAACTTCCTCATCTGATGACAGTGGCAAATCAGAATAAGCACAGCCCAATCCTACAAGAACCACGTGGCTTGACTGGGAAATATTAAAAAAAAAGAGACTGATTTACCAGAAGATACCATATTCCAAAAAAGCATTTTTAATGGCAAGATGGGGAGAAAACTGTTTTTCAAACAGAAAACAACCCAAAATAAAATTCATAATACATACTACAACATGGATAAGCCTTGAAAACATGCTGAGTGAAAGAAGTCAGTCACAAAGACCATATATTTTGTATGATTCAATTTACAGGAAATGTTCAGAATATAGGCAAATCGTTAGAGACAGAAAGTAATTAGTGATTGCCTAGGGCTGGGAGGGATGGGGTAATTGGGGGTTAATAGGTAAAAGGTATGGGGTTTCTTTTGGAAGTGATGAAAATGATCTAGATATTCTAAAATATTAACAGCTAACAACTCTGTGAATGTACTAAAAGCCATCTGAATTGTACACTTTATTTAAGTAGGTGAATTGTATGGTATGTGAACTATATTTCATTAAAGCTGTTTGGAAAAAAAAATCCGTGGCTCTACTCTAGACCCACAATAATCTAAAAATAAGGAGTTCCTACTATAATGCAGACTTTCTGGGCAAAATCTGAAGGGGAAAAGAAAAAGTTGACGTCAGAGCTGAGGAGAAGCCCTAGCTAGATTTCTCTAGCAAAATACTCCCATTTCAGTTTGGGGAAGAATTTCACAGGCTTGTCTCAAGATCATGAATCTCACAGAAATCCCCATCTGGCTTTAGGTTCCTGTTCCAAAAACACTGGAAAAACCAACAGAGGCAAAACACACTTTCAAAACAACACCTTTCATCTGCGTGGGCAAGGGAAGAAACAGGATGGATGTCTTGGGTTCTGTCAGAATACAAAGTTGAGAGCTCACTGTCACTATAGAAACTCAAGTCCAAAAAAAGACCACTCATTTCCCAAGGCTAACTCTCTTCAAAGTCCCTAAATAACATAACTCACAAAGAACGGAGGCCAGAAGAGCCCGCTGGTTAGCTGAAGCCTTAGAGATGGTCACATTCATCTCAGTGCTGTCGAGGCTTTAACTGAGACAAATTCTCTTCTTGACCTGCTTAATTTCCCAAACCAAGAGCAGAGGGTATCAAGAGAAGCCCGGTGAAGACCCTCGCTTCACCTACAAGTGCCTGTGTTGGCCTCACGGTGGAAGTTGTTACCATGGAGAGACAGACAGAAAGGGGGGTGGAAAAGGTATCTCTCTTACCCTGAAGCAAAAATACACAAAAGCCTAGGGCACTGGGAGGCTGAGAGGAAGAGAAATCTCGGCAGCTATCAGCCAACAGCTTCGTCCTGCCCTGACAACTCGGATTCCCTCTAATCCCCAGGCAAATTAAAAGACCAAATGTTATTACGCAGTTAATAATGGAACAGCTTCTGCGTCTCCACTAAACTTCTGCTTCAATCCCTAAGAACAAAATGGCCATTTCCAATGCCAAGGGCAAAGGGAAATGAGAAGCTCACAGCACAGTGCCTGACACATACTATTTAGGTATCAATAAATACTTGTTAGGGCTTCCCTGGTGGTTCAGACTGTGAAGAATCTGCCTGCAATGCTGGAGACCAATGTAGGCTGAATGCCAATGTAGGAGATGTAGGAGATGGGGGTTCAGTCCCTGGGTCACGAAGATCCCTTGGGGAAGGGAATGGCTACCCACTCTAGCATTCTTGCCTGAAGAACCCCATGGACAGAGGAGCCTGACAGGCTACAGTCCACGGGGTTGAAAAGACTTGGACATGAGTGAGTGACTAACACTTTCGCTTTCACTTTCAAGTATCTGTTGAATGACTATTGAATGAATGTTGATATCACCTCCCTTAGCCATCTCTGCCTTCTTCCCTCAGCCTGGAAGTACACACAGGTAGACATCCGGGCTTCCCACCTGGCTCAGTGATAAAGAATCCACCTGCCAATGTAGGAGATGTAGGAGATGGGGGTTCAGTCCCTGGGTCAGGAAGATCCCCTGGAGGAGGAAATGGCAACCCACTCCAGTATTCTTGCCTGGAACATCCTATGGACAGAGGAGGGTGGCCGGCTACAGTGCATGAGGTCACAAAAGAGTCAGACATGATCCAATGACTGAGCACGCACATACATGCACCACATAGAGTTGAATCCACACCTGTTCACTGCAACTCCATTTGTAATCTTGCAAAATAAGAATTACTGATATATTGACAAAAAATTGTTTTTTTAAAAATTACTGATATAATACAGATTTCTGGAGGGTAGGGACTGTTTAAATTTTTTTTTTTTCTTGGCTGCGGGGCATGGCAGATAGGAGCTCAGTTCTCTCACCAGGGATGGAACCCTAGCCCCCTACATTGGAAGCACAGTCTTCACCACTGGACCCCCAGCAAAATCCCCGGAGGGTAGGGATTTTTGTCAGTTTCATTACTGATGTACCTTAAGCGCCTAAAAATGCCTGGCACACAACAGGCTCTCAGTGAATATTTGTTGAATGCCAAATGAATTAAGGGCCTACTATGCGGCAGGCCGCTTGTGTTATTAATAGGCGGACTCCTGCAGGCGCCTTCTTGCCAAGCACTTCTACTGGGAGCCAGAAGCGGTCTTGAGTCCTCCTGCCGCCAGGAGTCGCTGAAGAAAACGCCAGGCCTGCTCTCGTTGCTTCTATCCCTGCGATACCCTTTGACCTCGTGAAGTATTGCCCCCAGTTAAGATGGCGGCGTCGGTGGCAGCCGCAGCTGGACGACTTCGGCGGGCCATTCGAAGGTCGCCCTCATGGCGGGGCCTTCGGGCGCTCTCATCGGAGGCCTCTCCAACCCAGGCCGCGGCCGTCCGGGACGCCTTCCTGAGCTTCTTTCGGGACCGCCATGGCCACCGCTTGGTGCCCTCCGCCTCCGTGAGGCCCCGCGGCGACCCCAGTTTGCTTTTCGTCAATGCAGGCATGAACCAGGTAGGGGCTGAACCACGCAGGTCTGGGCGGAGTTTGCAATTTTTTTCCTTAGAGAAAGGCGTTGTAGGATTGGGCAAGAGACGCAGAGGGCGGAGCTCCTACCTTTCGGGGAAAGAGAGCTTGTGCGTAATTAGGCAAGGAGTTTGGGGTGCAAATTAGCGCTTGGGGAGAGCTCGATCGGGGAACTTCTGAGTTAAGGTTGAGTTTTAGTTCCAGGAGTGGCGGGTGAAGGTTGAGTTTTAGTTCCAGGAATGGCGGGTGTGGAGTCCCATGGCGGCAGACTGGTAGGGGAAGTCTGGCTTCGTTTATTAGTTTTTTAAAATAAAGATATCATTCATTAAAATAAATGTTTGTTGAGTACATGCTACTGTGCTAGCCTACGTGCTCTAATCTTTCGACTTTGAGCACCATTTAGCCTCCATAGACTTGCCCTGTTTCTAGCCACCAGCACATTCGTTCTCAGTTTACCAACAGTCTTTCATGATTTATTTGTATGCCCAGACACCACCAGAGATGGGTGCTCCCAAGTTGCCCCCCGGGCCAAGACTTCACTGTAGGAGCCATGGACAGCCCTCAATCTGAATCACCATCTCTATGCCCACTCCCTACATTTCCCTTCTATTAGAATATGTCTCTCCCCCTTCCTGTGTTTCCAGTTCAAGCCAATCTTCCTGGGCACTGTGGATCCACGAAGTGAGATGGCAGGCTTCCGACGGGTAGCCAACAGCCAGAAATGTGTGAGGGCTGGAGGACGCCACAGCGACCTGGAGGATGTGGGCCGAGACCTTTCCCATCATACCTTCTTTGAGATGCTGGGCAATTGGGCCTTTGGGGGTGAATATTTTAAGGTGAGTCCCCAGGAAGCCCTGGAGCTAGGAAAGGGTCAGTGGTCAGCCAAGAAAGGAGCCAAGGTTAATCCTGTCTCCACTGTTAGAGTCGGCTTAAGCAGGGCCTCATACCAGACACAGAGGCAAAGTGCTCGATGGACACATAATAGAAATGTGTCTCACTTCCCTGGTTGAGCTGTAAACTTCTTGAGGACCAGGACTATGCCTCCTGCCTAATGGCTGATCAAGTTATTGTAAATAAAATGCAAATGCAGGAGTTAAAAATCCTCTCAGGCTGAGGTGGGTAGGGGGGTTTTATGGAGAAGGTGGGACCTGAAAGAAAATGGGATTTAGAAGAGAGGACACTTTCTATGCAGGAAAATCTCAGAAGCAGAAAGAGTCATGGCTTGTTCTGGAAACCAGGTGGGCAGTGGAAATGGTCTTGTCTTAAGCTGAGGGTGGAACTCATGTGGCTTGATGGGCACTTCAGTGGGGCCTTCTCACCCGTCTTCCTCTTTGCACTGGGTTTCCACTACAGGAGGAAGCTTGCAGCATGGCCTGGGAGCTGCTGACTCAGGTCTATGGGATCCCTGAGGACCGGCTCTGGGTCTCCTACTTTGGTGGTGACCCCAAGGCTGGGCTGGGCCCAGACCTGGAGAGCAGGGACATCTGGCTCAACTTAGGGTGAGTCCACCCCCACTTATGTCCCACTCCTGGAGCACAAGAAAACTGGAAAATAACCAGCACCGGACCTCAGAGTCTCAGCATATCCTGTGATACTGTAGGGTCAACCCTGTTCCTCGTCCTGCTGAGCTTTGTGGAAGGGCTCTCCTGGCAGATAGCAGGGGTGGGGTAGGGGGTCCTCGGCTTCTGCCTTTGTCTCCCACCATCTATCTGGCTTTCTTCTCAGGGTGCCTGCCAGCCGCGTGCTCTCCTTTGGGCCCGAGGAGAACTTCTGGGAGATGGGGGATACTGGGCCTTGTGGGCCCTGTACTGAGATACACTATGACCTGGCCGGTGGGGCAGGGGCCCCCCAGCTGGTGGAGCTTTGGAATCTGGTCTTCATGCAACATAACAGGTAATGGGTTGCTAGAGGAGGAGGGAAATCCCTGACTGAAAGTGAAAAAGTGGGCAGTCAGGAGACTTCGATCCAGTTGTTATGAAAACAAATACTTAAACAGCATTTACAATGTGCCAGGCATATTTCTGGGGGCTTTCCTGGTGGCTCAGATTGTAAAGAGTCTGCCTACAGTGCAGGAGACCTGGGTTCATTCCCTGGGTCAGGAAGATCCCCTGGAGAAGGGAATGGCTACCCACTCCAGTATTCTTGCTTGAAGAATTCCATGGACAGAGGAGCCTGGCAAGCTACAGTCCATGGGGTGACAAAGAGTCGGACATGACTGAGCGACTAACACTTTCACTTTCAGGCATATTTCTAAACACTTTTCAGATAGTAACCGATTTAGTCCTCATCTTTGCCCGTGACATTGCAACTAGACACTGTGGGTCTTTGGACTCTGCTCTCTTATCATAAGATGGAGTTGAATTTGATAATCTCTTAAGATTTTCTACCAGCCTTGACATGCCTCTTTATAAAACAAAGAATTGTGTCCCAGAAAGTGGAGGTCTGGATCTAGGCAAGGGCCCAGTCACCCTTTATGAGAAAAGAGAGGACCCAAGGCTATCATCATCCGCTTTGGGGGAAGGGGGGGATGATACTGCCCGCTGGTTCCTCTCACTGTTGGCCCCCCCAAATCCCCTCCTCATCCCTTTATGCCACTTGAGCATCATACCTTCAATCCTATGGGGGCCTCACCTTGCACACCTTTCCCGTACACCTGGCCAGAGAGGCAGACGGAAGCCTGCAGCCCCTGCCCCAGCGGCACGTGGACACGGGAATGGGCCTGGAAAGGCTGGTCGCCGTGCTGCAAGGCAGGCGCTCCACCTACGACACCGATCTCTTTTCCCCACTTCTCGACGCCATACACCAGGTAAGCCCACCTCTTCCCTTCCAGAAGCCACTCTGACCTGCAGCCCTCAAGGCTCACCACCACTGCTTTCTCCCTTTGTTGAGAACTCAAGAGTATTCCCGCCTGTGGGGACAGTGAGCAGCCAAGAATGTGAGGATGTCAGACATGAGGCTCCAGTTCACGTTGACAACCTGATACTGCTCCTCACTCTTTCCTCAGTAGTTGTGGTGCACATACTTAGTTGTGGCATGTGGGATCTTAGCCCCTGTATTGACCAGGGAAGTCCCTGATTGTCACTTTTAAAAGGCATTCCTGTTGCTGTGCGGAGGTTGCGCTGGAAGGAAACCGGAGTAGAAGCTGAGAAATTGTGAGGCTGTTTCATAGTTCAGAAAAGACAAGGTGTGGCTTAGGCTGATAGCAGAGGAAGTGGAGAAAAGTAGATGGATTTGAAAGATCTCTGGAAGTAGATGCAAAAGCCCCTACTGATGGATTCGATGCAGAGAGCAGAGCCAAGTCAGGGCTGGCCCCCGGGTTCTTGACTTGACTAACGTGAGTGGCAGGGCCAGCAGCCGTGTCTCGTCTCCTGCTTCCAGGGTTGCGGGGCACCCCCTTACTCGGGCCGCGTTGGGGCAGCAGACGAGGGGCACACAGACACAGCATACCGCGTGGTTGCTGATCACATCCGCACACTCAGTGTCTGCATCGCCGACGGCGTCTCCCCTGGGATGTCTGGCGCCCCGTGAGTCTGGAAGGGCTACAGTGAAGGGCAGGGGTTGCTGCGGGCTGCAGGGGAGAGGAGGGAGGGGGATGAAGAGGCAAGTGGGGTTGAGATGGCAGGCGGAGGAGGAAGGGGGCATACACTCTGCGTCGTGCCCTCCCTACTCCCCCCCCGCTGCTGACCCAGGGCTACTGGGGGCTCGTATCTGGGCTCTGACCCCCTCTAGGCTGGTACTTCGTCGGATCCTCCGTCGAGCCGTGCGGTTCTCTACTGAGGTGTTGCGGGCACCACCTGGCTTCCTGGGCAGCCTGGTGCCTGCAGTGGTGGAGACGCTGGTAAGGGCACAGCTTCCTCGCTTCCCTGGGCCTCCCAGGGGACTCGGAAAACCTGTCAGTGAACCCAAACAGTGATCTTGCCCGGGTTCCCCACCCTGTGTGTCTAGCCCACAGTCTTCTCAGCGGGCTTACAGAAAGCAGGGAGCCTCCTTGCCCAGGCTGCTGAGCCTTTGACCTCAGGACCCCCTTCTGCCTGTATTACCCCCGCCCCTCCCTAAAGAAGCTGATTCCCCATTTGGACCCTCCCCCATCCATCAGCTTCTCTGAGCCCCCAAGGCAGGTGTCCCCAGGGAGGGCCAGGGTGGAGGGGCAGAGTGGGCTGGTTGCCTTTGACATTGCCTTGGGCCTCTGCACTGTCCCCAGGGAGATGCTTACCCAGAATTGCAGAGGAGCTCAGCCCAGGTACTGGACTCGAGTGGGTGAGGAAGGGGCTGACGAGACTGGTGGGGAGAGGCTCTCCCTCTCAGGAGGCCCAGCTCCAGCCCTGCCCTGCCCCTGTTCAGATAGCCAGCCTGGTGTCAGAGGATGAGGCAGCCTTCCTGGCCTCCCTGCAGCGTGGTCGGCGGGTCATCGAGCGGACCCTGAAGCGCCTGGGGCCTTCCGACGTATTCCCAGGTGAGCAGGATGCCTGCCCACGGTGTGAGGGTCCCACTTAGGTGAGCCAAGCCCAGGCCTCACATCTCCACCCCGACGTCTCTCTCCACCTACTCTCTCCACCACCGCCCGCTTCTCCTCCCTTCCCCACTGCCCGGCTAGCCCCGCCCCTGGCCGCTGCTTTCCAAGGCTGGCTGCAGGCCGAGAATGAACTTTCCTCCTCTGAAGTGACATTTGCCAAGGGAGGACCCTGGGCTGCCCCCAGCTCCTGCTTTGCAGCCTGAAGGGGACCCTCCTCTGGGGCTGCCCAGTGCAGAGAGAAGGCCCATATGCTTGGCATCCGGTGGCTTCTCTGGTCAGAAAATCCTTCTCCCGACTCCCTCCACCCTGCCCTCCCTCCCTCAATAGCCCTGACGCCCCTCATCTTCCTCCCTCAAAGCCGAAGTGGCCTGGTCCTTGTCCCTGTCTGGGAACCTGGGGCTCCCCCTGGACCTGGTGGAGCTGATGCTGGAGGAGAAGGGGGTGCCGCTGGACACTGCTGGACTGGAGCGGCTGGCCCAGGAGGAGGCCCAGGTACCAGCCGGGAGCCCCACCGGTTCTGTTGGGTCACAGCCCCTCCCTCAGTCCTGGGATCCTGTGGGAAGAAGGAAACGGGAGGCTGAGGTAGGTCTGTCCACTCGCTCAGGCAGCCCCCGCAGCCCGCGGAGAGGAAGGCCAGCGCAGTGGGCCACACAGAGGAGCAGAAGGGGAGAGGCCAGCACGTGTCCTCAGAGGGGCCATCGGGGGCCGCAGTGGGTCCTGGTCCTGAGACCCCTGCACAAGGGGAGGTTGACCAGCCAGCCCAGCCCGAGGGCTTGTCCCAGAGGGGGTGCGGGGTGCACAAGCTGTGTGGCGGAGCCGGGTCTCCACGCACCCCCTCGTGCACACACGCCTGTCCCACAGCACCGGACGCTGCAGGCCGAGCCGGTTCAGGAGCAGGGACTGCGGCTCGACGTCCACGCCCTGGGGGAGCTGCAGCGCCGCGGGGTGCCCCCCACCGATGACAGCCCCAAGTACAGCTACTCCCTGCGACCGGGCGGCGGTTACGGTGAGAGGCTGGGCTGAGGCGGGTGGCCACGGGCTTGCCTGACCGCGATTGGGAGGACAGAATCAGCCACCAGGCCTGTGCCTTCCCCGGGGGAGCCGCCAGGGGTCGCTGTGGGTCCCGGCTGGAAGTGCCCCCCTGCCCCTGCCGATTGGCTTCAAGGGAGGCGTGGGCCCAAGCCCCTGCCTGGCACTGATAAGCGGTCTCGGCCCCGGCAGAGTTCAGCACCTGTGAGGCCCAGGTGCTCCAGCTGTATACAGAGGATGGGACAGCTGTGGCCTCCGTGGGGGACGGCCAGCGCTGCGGCCTCCTCTTGGACAAAACCAACTTCTATGCTGAACAGGGAGGCCAGGCTTCCGACCGAGGCTACCTGGTGCTGGTGGGCCAGCAGGTGAGCCCCCCACTGCCACCATCACCCCCAACGCCCACCACACACACACACACACATGTTCCCCACTTCTCCTGAGCCGGAAGGAGCCAAGGGGAGGGAGAGGCGGCAGGCAGTCAGTGCCTTGGTCCTGCCCTTCCCCAGGACGTGCTCTTCCCAGTGGCCCGGGCTGAGGTCTGCGGAGGCTTCATCCTGCATGAGGTGGTGGCCCCTGAGTGCCTCAAGGTGGGGGACCAGGTGCAGCTGCATGTGGATGAGGTGAGGACCCCACCTCTGCTCTTTGTTCTCCATGTCCTGCAGCCCCATCTCCCTCCCCATCCCACCCGCACCCAGGACCCTGGGTGACAGAAGTGTTTCAGGCCTGGCGTCTGAGCTGCATGGAGAAGCACACGGCCATCCACCTGCTCAGCTGGGCACTGCGGCAGGCCCTGGGCCCCAGCACAGAGCAGCGAGGCTCCCATCTCAATCCTGAGCGGCTGCGCTTCGATGTGGCCACGCAGGTGAGCTGGGCACGGAGAGGCAGCCTTCACACGAGGCTCCGGGCTTAGAGTCTGGTGGTGTGGGAGTCTGACCAGTAAGAGGGCTGGACTCCCCTCGCTCAGTCACTGGGGACCTTGGGTGGGGGGCTTCCCATCAGGCCCCTCCTGCACCAGCAAGGGTCAGGCGAGCCAGTGTCCGGGGTCCTCTCTTGGCCTTCAGCCGCCCGGCTTCCTTGTCCCTGCTGTCACCCAGGCTGTTCTTGCTCAAGCCGAGCTGCCCTCTTCCTTATCTGTCATCCTTTCTCCATGTCCATCTGGCTCAAATCCTGCAGGAAGTGCTCACTGACTGAATCCCATTCCGCCTGATGACTCCTTCCTTGCTCCTGCATCTCCCCCATCCTGTATTTCTCTTCCACTGGCTGCCCCTTGTAAGCTCCTGAAGTACAGAGCCTCTGTCTTCTGTTTCTTGGTCAATTTTCAGTGCCTAGCGAAAGAAAGGTCTGCTGCTTTCAATAGGCCCAGTTCCCAGGTCGTTTTCTAAGGAAAAGAATTGTCTGCTCTGCAAATGTATTGAGGACGTGTTATATACTAGGCACTGTTCACTGTTGTGTACTAGCGTGGGGCTAGTTCAGTGAACATCGAGTGTTTCATCATGCATCACTCCCAGGCACGGGGCTGACTGCCTGTCCGTCTATTTCCCCCACAATCCCCCAGGCTCCTTTGACCCCAGAGCAGCTCCGGACAGTGGAGGGCACTGTGCAGAAGGCCGTGGGGCGGGATGAGGCCGTGTACATGGAGGAGGTGGCTCTGGCACGCACTGCCCACATCCCTGGCCTGCGCTTCCTGGATGAGGCGAGTTGGGGGAGCCCCTTTGGTGGAGATCGTGTGAGTGACCACCCCCCACTCACAGGCCTGTTCACAGACCTGCGCCTCTCACCATCAGGTGTACCCAGATCCTGTGCGGGTGGTATCCGTGGGGGTGCCCGTGGCCCATGCGCTGCACCCAGCCTCCCAGGCCGCACTGCAGACTTCTGTGGAGCTGTGCTGTGGGACGTGAGTCTCTCCTCTCTGCCCACTTTGGCCTGGGGCCCTGGACCTCCTCCCTTCCCTTGTCCCTGGAGCCACCAGCCGCTGGTTGGAGCTCCAGCTGCTCTTCTCTCTCCTATCATCCCCCAGACTTCCTCCTCCCTTCCTCTGCCCACAGGCACCTGCTTCGCACGGGGGCCATAGGAGACCTGGTCATCATCGGGGAGCGCCAGCTCGTCAAGGGCATCACCCGCCTGCTGGCCGTCACTGGGGAGCAGGCCCAGCAGGTCAGCACACCAGCGGGGCCTGGGAGGCTTCTCTGGGTGTGGATGGGGCAGGGAGCACACAGCTGATGTGGTCAGGCCGGGGAATGCCCAGCAGCAGAACCAGGATTCATACCTGTGCACTGAGCCACACCAGCTGCTGGCAGCTGGCATCTGTTGTCATCATTTGATGCCTTGATGAGTCCTGATTGTTGAATGTTTCTAACTTGTCCCCACCCAGCAATAGGTCAAGAACCCCTGTCATGGGGAGGGCAGGTAAGCCACGCTGTCCTGACCATCCTGTGCCCTCCCTACAGGCCCGGGAGGTGGGCCAGAGCTTGGCCCAGGAGGTGGAAGCAGCCGCAGCTCGGCTGAGTCAGGGCAGCCAGGGTGTGGCGGAGGCGCATCGGCTGTCCAAGGACATCGGACGACTCACCGATGTGAGGGCCACCCCCACTGTGGAGCTGCCCCCTCTGCCTGGCCCTGTTCCCCTCCCCAACCCTGCCTGTCTCCCCCCAGCATCCCCAGCCCAGATGTTTGTTGTTTGTCTGCAAGGGGGCGTGCGGGGGTGTGTGGCCCCTTCCCTAGCCCTGCTGGTCCCTGCCTCAGGGACCGTGACTCAGTGGGGCCAGGGAGTGATATGCCGCTTCTGACCACAGGCCGTGGACACCGCCACAATGCCCCAGTGGCAACGGCGGGAGCTTCAGGCCACACTGAAGGCGCTGCAGCGGCGTGCCAACACTGCCGTCCGGAAACTGGAAATAGGGCAGGTGAGAGGGGGTCTGGCTGCACCCCATGGGGCAGATAGCAGGCACACCTGGCGAGCATCAGAGATGCTCTAGTACCCACGCTGAGACACCTCCAGGCCTGGTGGGGAGTGAGGGTGGGTGGCAGTTGCTGCCTCTCCTGCCATCTGGGTGCCATCATCAGGTCATTCCCCCACTTCCCTCTGCCAAACTGGGTCTCTCCCCCAACTCCCAAGCCTAGCTCAGAGTCTCCCTCCAAGAAGCTAACTTGATTACGCCATTCAGCCCTAATTGCTCCTTGAGTGCAGCTCCTCCTCCCTCCGTCCCCCCTCGCCCATCTGCGCTCCAGTCCTAGTCCCTTCACCTTCAGCGGCCCCTGTGTAGGAGCCTGGAGCTATAAGGAAAGGGAGCAGTGAGGAGAAGAGGAAGGACATAGAAGGGACCCAAAACAAGGTGGCCATTCTCGGCAGAACCCCTGGCATCTTTGCTGGGGGACGGAGGGCGTGGGAGGGGATTTCTGGGCTGGGGCTCAGGTCAGAAGTGGGGGCTGATTACTTCCCAGCCCGACCTCTGCGCTGTTCTTCCTGCTTCCCAGGCTGCACAGAAAACCCAGGAGCTGCTCCAGCGGCACACAGAGGGGCCCCTGATTGTGGACACAGTTTCCACGGAGTCCCTCTCAGTAAGCGCTGGGTGTGGGGTGGGCCCAGGGTGTAGGGAGGGGAAAGTGCTGGCAGGGAGGAAGCTGGGAGTCCGGGGAGCTGCGAGGTCGCCATCTGCCCCCCTGCAGGTGCTGGTGAAGGTGGTCCGGCAGCTGTGTAAGCAGGCGCCCAGCACATCCGTGCTGCTCCTCAGCCCCCAGCCTCTGGGACAGGTGCTGTGTGCCTGTCAGGTGGCCCAGGTGAGAGGGGGGAGGGCAGCCCCACCCCACTCATCTCCTAGTCCAGCTTGCTGATCCCTTGTCTTTTATTCCTCCCACACGAGAGCCACGGCTGGGTAGAGGTGATCTCTGAGGATACCCCAGGATGGGGACAGGGCCATCTCCTTGTCCCTAACCCACCCCGTCCCCCCCCACCACCCTCAGAGGATTCCTTCAATTCCCACCACCCCACCCTCCAGGCTGCATATTTCTTGCAAATAGGTAGCAGCCATTCATCAACCTCTAGGGATGCATTCCCAGCCCATCCCTCTCCTGTCTCCTCACCCAGTTACCTACGCCCACCATATGCCCGGCTCAGGAGAGGGCTCTGCTCACTGTGACTCCACTCTCCAGGGAACACTCAGTGGGCGGGGCAGGGAGGGCCGCTCTGCATCACTGCCCCTTCTGGTTCTGTCCCCAGAGTGCCACGCCGGCCTTCACAGCAGAGGCCTGGGCGCTGGCCGTGTGCAGCCACATGGGGGGCAAAGCCTGGGGCTCTCGAGTGGTGGCCCAGGGCACTGGAAGCACTGCTGACCTGGAAGCTGCCCTCAGCACAGCCCGAGCCTATGCCCTCAACCAGCTCTGACCAGGCTCACGCAGGGACTCACACACGCTGAAGAGACTGCGGCCAGGGCAGTGCCTGGAGCCCTGAAGGAGCCAGCAGAACCTCCCCGGAGGCTCAGCAGAGGACTCAAGTCTGGAGGCCAAGCAGCTGTGCCAAGAGGGTGCCCTGGGCTGGGACTTGCACAGACACAAGAAGATGGGGGCTGGGGAAGACAGAAGTGAGCCTGAACATAGACCCCGCAAGGTGGAGGTGGAGATGCACACGGCTGTTCTGGCTGTGATTGTTCATTAAAAGGTATTTCACAGGATAGGAAGCGCCAGAGGGCTTCCCAGCTAGCGCTAATCATAAAGAACTCACCTGCCAATGCAGGAGACGTAAGAGACCAGGATTTGATCACTGGGTCGGGAAGATCCCCTGGAGAAGGGAATGGCTACCCACTCCAGTATTCTTGCCTGGAGAATCACATGGACAGAGGAGCCTGGTGGACTGTGGTCTACAGGGATGCAAAGAGCCAGACACGACTGAAGCAACTCGGTACACACACATACAGGAAGCTCCAGGACATTCTTTTACCTAAAAAAAGGCAGCCTTTCCCCTCTCAGCAACCTGGAATGGGTGCCCCATCCCTAGTTTGACCCCTCACACTGGACTGAAAGGCCACCTGGCATCCAGATCTGAACTCCCCTCATCACCACCACAAGCGGTTGGCCAAGCCCGCTGTGCCAGCCTGTTCTGAGCTCCCACAAAAGCCTCCCTAGCCAAGATTGAAAACTGTCATGTGAAAGTCATGAGAGGTGGGCAGATCCTCTCTGGTGTCACTTACTTCATTAACAGCTTCTCATTTTAATGAAGGCTCTGATGATTTGTTGATAAAATGGGCCAACAGGGACATCCCTGGCGGTCCAGTGGCTGAGACTTCACGCTCCCCATGCAGAAGGCTTGGGTCTGATCCCTGGTCGGGGGACGACTAAGACCCAACAGAGCCAAACAAATAAGCCAGCAGGTGCTGGTCAGATGCTGGGACTATGGCAAGAAACAAATAGAGCTTCCTGCCCTTGTGGAGCTTTCTTCCCATGGGGAAACAGCAATGACGAGAAAGAAGAAGGTATCAGGTAGGGGTGAGATCTGTGGAGAGAGCAGACGGGTTGGGAGGGTGTGAGCCCCGTGGACTTCTGAGGGCAGAGTCAGTGCCGAGGCCTGAGGGGCAGGTGCAGGTCTTGGGGTCAGAAGGGGGCAGAGCCAAAGCAAGCCTACTCTTTTTTTTTTTTTTTTTTTTAAACAACTTTAAAAAAAAAAATTTTATTGTTGGTTGTGCTGGGTCGTCACTGCTGCCTGCAGGCTTTCTAGTTGGGGCGAGTGGAGGCTACTCTTTGTTGCAGTGCATGGGCTTCTCATTGTGGTGGCTTCTCTTGTGGACCACGGGCTCTGGGGCATGTGGGCTCACTCGTGGCACACGGGCTTAGTTCTGTGACATGTAGAATCTTCCCAGACAGGGATTCAACCCCGTGCATTGGCAGGCAGATTCTCACCCACTGTACCACCAGAGCAGTCCCAAGCCTTTTATTTTTTTTTTCCAAGCCTTCTCTTCTAAAACAAGTTGCAAAGCACCTGCCCCAAACCTGAGCTGAAGCTGAAATTGGCAGCTCAGAGCAGAAGGAAAGTGTGGAATGGAGGGCAGTTGTCCTTCCCTCCCAAAGTGAATCCACCCGGGACCAAGCCAGACACCTCTGTTTGAAGATCTCTGTTGCTGGATGAAGGAAGGGGAACTTGGAGGACCCATCCCCAAGTCAGAGCCTCCCTGGCTGCAAAGTTCTGGGCCCTTTAGTCAAAATTTTGGAGCAGAGCAGGCCTTCCTGACAGCATTTCTTGTGTGATTTCTCATTCTAATTGAGGCAGTGATGACTAGTTGGTAAATAACTGATGAGGGCTTGAAAGGGGCCTGGAGCCCCTGGCCTCTGGCTGCCTGCAGTCCTAAGAGGTTGCAAGACTTCCTCTTGGGATCTGAGCAACTGTGGCAGTGGCCACTGTTCAGTGCACTGACGGAAGGCCTGGCTCTTAACACACAGTCACCACAGTCAGGATACTGGTTTTTTTTGAGGAGTTAACTGAATTTATAAGGTGGCAACTTATCCAGGGTAACCCAGCTAGTAAAATCAGCAGAACTGAAATTTAAGTTTTGCCTCCAGTGAAATTTCCCACCACCCTTGGTAGTTCTTCCCATCTTGAAGGACGATTTCCTTTTCTATGAAAGCTGGTCATTTCACAGAAGCTGGTCATTCCTGGTGTTGGGCTTAGGGCTGTGGAGGCTTGGGGTCTTCTGCCTGGTGCCACTCAGCCTTGCTGACAGCCTGGAGAAAGGCCGAGCTGGCTCCAAAGGGATGCTGCAGCCAGGGGTCAGCCGAGGGCCTCAGGGGAGTTCAAGAACTGCACGTGCCCTTCCATCGCCCTCTTCCGGAAGAGAATGGCCACTGGTGCTTTTCCTGGACCGTCTTTCCACTCGTCATCCCCACCTCCATTTTCACACAAGAGGCCCCCGAGAAGGAAGAGCCCCGTCGCAGTCCAGGTGCCCTGCCCCATCCCCAGCTCCCCCCGTTCCCCGCAGAAACCCACTGCTCCTAAACATGTCCCCAGGACGCACAGAGCATGTCCCGTGGCCAGAGTCCCCACTGCACTGTCCTCACACAGTGCCTTAGATGGGGACACGTATTTGCATCGATCCTGGGCCAAGGCGCGCGGCGACAACCATCGAAGCCCGGCAGCCCTGCCCTCCACAGCGCACAGCCGAGCAAACCAGCTTGCGGGAGGACGCATGCGCACCCGCCCTCGAAGCCCCGCCCGCTAGCGATGCGCGGCGTCCCTAACAACCGGCGTTGCGTGGGAGCCTGCGGGAAGGTGAGCGCCCAGGTCTCGGGAGCGGTGAGGCAACCTCTGGAGAGAGAACACCCGGCCCCAGTCTCCCCTAGCGGGCTGAGCTCTCTCTGTCCCCATTCCCCCCACAGGGCACGGGAGCACCCGCCCCCCCCCAGAGTCAGCCCACCCGGCCGAAGTCTGCAGGTGGCCGCAGCCTTGGCTCCCGTGAGAAGGAAGGGCCGGCCTATACCTATGGGAGGCCCCTACCCCCATATGAAGTTGACCGACCGTGCCTCCTTCCTCGCTATGGCCCCTGCAAACTGGCCCAGGGCCTGCGAGTCAGGGGAGGGAGGGTCACCCGAGATAGAGAAGGAGAAAGTGGAGTGAGAGTCGGTCATGGGGGAGAGCAGTCCCTAGTTGTGGGGCCTCAGCCTTCCTGGAAAGACCGACCTCTATTCCCAGCTCCTGGGGCTGCCGTCCTTCCCGCAGATCCAGACACTTCTACCCTCCCTCCCTCCCACGACAAAGCTGGTTATCCTTGGTCACCAAACAGAAGGAGGGCCCCTTCACCCCCAGGCGGGTTGGGAGGGACTTGCTGGCTTTTGGAGCTGAGCTTCCCTGGTGGGGTGTCTGAATCAAAGGTAGGGATGAGGGTGGAGTTCTTTTTTAAGACAACAGACCTAAGTGGGCAGTTGGGAGGAAAGCCTGGCCCAGGGGTGTGATAAGTGTGCAGACTGTCTCACCAGCAAAAGACCAGAGTTGCTGGGCTAGAACTCTGTCAGGGAAACTTTTTTGCCCCTCTTTTGTGATTCCACAAACTGAATTCCCAAATGGGAATGACTTGCCCTGAGGTGAAGTCTGACACAGTAGGCAGGATAGGGACTGGGGAAATGTAGACAAAAGCCAGGGCCCTGAGGAACAGCTGACTGAGAAAGCCAGCACCATCAGAGAAACTGGGGGGTAAGGGATGTCAAAGCCCAGTCCCCAGGAAGGGATGTCCACGGCCACAGAGGTCCTCACAGAACCTCAGGAAGGCCTGGCACATCTTCTCAGTTCAGAGGAAAAGAGGTGATGACGTGAGCAGAAAGGGGAGAGGACTTCCCCTCCCCTAGCATCTTCAACGTTCCCATTTGGGCAGGCAGGTGGAGCCTCTGCCCAAAGTGTTTGGATTTAACTAGGCACTTGAGAAAGAAGGAGGAGGTCTGAGATGTTCGAGAGGAGGGAAGTTGCGGGAGACTCAAGCACTGAACCCTAGGTCTGGGAGGAACATGGAGGGCCCAGTGTGGGCCATGGGGCAGGAGAGCATAGTTCTGTGATATCTCTTGGTCCTCCTGGGGCCTCAAAACCTGAAGTGATCATCAGTTCTGCAGAAAGGCCCTGTGACGGAGCCTGGGCTGTTCAGCTCAGCACCAGTGACGGTGACCCCAAGCTCCCACAGGAAAGAGTGGGAAGCCCACTGGAAAAGTACCATGACAACTGAGTCTGGGCAATTTAGGAAGCAATGCCAACATCCCGTGATTTGTCTCTGCTTTTTGTGCAGGGAAGTGAGGGACAGCTTTGGACAGACATTGGTTCAGAGCTCAGCTTCTCCATTTACTGTGATGCTTAGCAAGTTACTTAAGTTCTCTAAGCCTCTGTTTTCCTGTTTGTGAAATGAGGATAATAGTGTTATAATAACAATATTTGTCAATAAGTCTGAAGATTTCATAGGCTTATATAGGTACAGCATCTAACATCTTTGTCATGATATCTAACACTTACCTTGAGTGTTGGCTCTGGCCCAAAACTATAGGGAATGTCTCACACATGTTTCCTGGTGGCTCAGACATTAAAGAATCTGCCTGCAATGCAGGAGACTCAGGAGACACAGGTTCAGTCCTTAGGTTGGGAATATCCACTGGAGAAGGGCAAGGCAACCCACTCCGGTATTCTTGCCAGGGGAATTCCATGGACAGAGGCGCCTGGTGGGCTATCGTCCATGGGCTCACCAAGAATCAGACATGACTGAGTGACAACACTTTCACTTTAGGGCTTCCCAGGTGGCACTAGTGGTAAAGAACCTGCCTGCCAGTGCAGAAGACACAAGAGATGCAGGTTCAATCCTTGGGTTGGGAAGATCCCTGGAAGAGGAGATGGCAACCCACTCCAGTATTCTTGCCTGGAGAATTCCA